TTATGTGGATTAATGTAAACTTGGAATGGTTGTGGAGTGCTTTAAGGATAAATTTTGTGAACTAAATTAGTCTTGCAGCTTAATTCCCAGATGTTTTAGTTGTAATTTCATTGTTATATTTATTATTCCTCTGATTGCCAAAATTTTGGAATAGGTGCCCTCTAGCTTTATCCGGTTTTCTATTAAAGTTCTTCTTTTGCTTCCTGATAATTGAAATACATTTTTGAAAGCATGTGTAGCGCTGGATGGTTTAGAAATTAGATACATAGAAAGTCTGTTAGCGTGGCAACAAGTATTGCATCTTACTAGCTTCTTGATGATTTCCTCGTGCAGCTTTAACCTTATAATTCACCTGTTTGAGATAATAACTTAAGGAAATTTAGTTATACATGCTATTTTTCATAAATTGGATAGCAGTAAGTATGGTTCAAAAGCACTCTAAGAATCAATAAAATGATTTGAATGGATCTTGTGGCCTTGTTGTGAGATTCAACTGTTATGCTTCTTCTTTTCGTGGAAAAATTTTTGCAACTGGATTCTAGCTATAGATACCTTACAATTATAAATTTTTTCTACATCACAATGATTTGAGAGGGTTTTCTCCATTCAATTTAGGCAGAAAATATTTCACTCTAGTAGTTTATTAATGATCTCAGTGAAGTTTTTACCTTATCATCATATTGTAGACCAATTCCTTGATACATTTTTAGATTTCGACAGACATTTTACATTTAAACATGTAATGTTCACCTTTAATGTACTTGAGTTAAGCTGGTTGAGGTTCTTATAATTCTAGCTTTAAAAGAAACTACCTTTGTTTCAATAATTCGGCGAGTGCAGCTGAATGTGGATGATAAGCTCAAGTGGAATTCCATTTCTTATTAGTGGGTGTTTTCATGATTTTCGGGAAAGCATATTCATGGTTAGGCTCCTTCTGGCATCACCTGTATGTATCAGATTTATGCTGAAGGTATGCGTGTCCATAAGGCATATCAAACTAGAAGCTGTAAGTTATTCTTCACTAGTTTCTTAAACCAGATGTTTGATTATTTCCTTCAACCCAATTATTTGTTGTATCTTCACACAAGTTGTTCCAAACCCATACATATTCTGAGTAGTTGCATCCCCAGTGTTATGTTGTGAATAAATTCTCTGCTAACGTGAGCATAGGGAGTAGTTGTAACTGGAATAACAAAATGAGAGGTCTTTTTTACTAATGAATCTAGGTAGAGGTTAGTGTAATTTGCCATATTCCTGAATGCCAATATCCACTTAGTTCATTGCAGTTTGTTTTATTGATCATGTTCACATTGAATATGTACTAGATACTAAGGAGAGGTGTCCGGGTCTTAAGGAAAAAGTATCCATGATTAGCCTCCTTTTGAGATCAGTTACATGTTTCTGCATTGCACAAGTGCTTTATGTCCAGGATGTATGTCTTTGAACCAGAAGCATGAACCTACTTACCTACAAGTATCCATGATTAGCTTCCTTTTTTATCAACTGAATTCTTCATTTTTATTGCTTCCATCATCTCCTTCCTTCATCCATCACTCCCACCACTTCCCTCTCCCTCCACCCCTGCCACCCTACCCCTTCCACCACCGCCTCCCGTCATCTGCCACCCCCCTCATTCTCTTCCCCCTCCTCTAGCGCCACCACCCTCCCCCTCTTCCTTCCTCCCTCCTCCTCTCCCCCTCTCCTTCTCCCCCCCCTTTTTCCTCCTCCCCCTCTCTCAGCCGGCAAATAGGAGAGGGAGAGGGAGAGGGAGAGGGGTAGGGGAGGGAGGGGAGGGGTGGGTGCTTGTCTTCCACCTCTGATCTCTCTTTCTCAATGCCAGCCAGCCTTCCATTCGTCAATTCATCCAAAATAGTCACCACCAGAAAAACCCAGAAGACTCGTGAGAGTATTAGCAATAGGGTGGCTCCGGTGATGAAGAACGGCAAGACTGTTCTCAAGTATACTGTGGGGTGTGTAAGAATGTTCTCAAGTTAGAACAAATTACTTGTGATGCTTTGTGGCCTATCAGTTTCCATTTGGCAAAAAGGAAAAAAAAATGTAGATCCTTGGCTGCGGAAGACAAGTAGTGATGCTGATGCATGGCTTTCTTCGGGCTTTGGGGAGGCAATTGATGGGCGTGATGGTGCCTCCGTGGTCTAAGCGATGTATACTGCATTCTTTGGTATTAAAGTGGTAGGCTTGAGCTATACTTGACGTGCCTAACTTGTATATTTTTCGTGGAAAATTTTGCATCCGGGACTGCACATGAAGTTGTGAAATCAGGATTTTGGCCTATATTTTTATAAATCAGGACTTAGGGGAAGATGATATTTTTATTAAAATTTATTTTGACCTATAAAGTTTTTTTTGTTAAACCATAAAAATTTTAAGAACATGATTTTGGCCGCTTAAGCTTTGGTAAACCACAAAATGCTTATTTTTATAAAAATGAAAATAAAAGGCAGAAATGAAAAAATAAAGAGGGTAGCATGGACATTGCAATTCTCTCCGTTAATTGGGATGATTTTCATCCAATTTCCAAATAAGTTTAAAACATAAAGGGGTTATCTGAGGGTTTTTAAATAATGAGGAGGTATCATGGCCAAATCCCAAATTATAAGGGGGCTTTTTTTTTTTTTTTATATATATTTTACCCTAATCAATATGATCCTTTGAATTATAAATAGTTACAACTATGGCTTATAAGATAAAATAATATATGCTTTGAAATAAATATGCAACAAATATGTTCCTTTATAAATTTTCTTTTTGCTTTGAGCACTCGATATTTCCACCTTCAGTGAGATTAATCCGGATTCGGCTGGAATATTTCTAATTGCAGGATCTTTTGTGTTTTTCGAGTGACTTGATGCACTCTGTTTTTGCCTACGGCTGGAATATTTCTAATTGCGGGATCTTTTGTGGATCTTAATTCTGACGTAATTCTATGTAAATATGGTAGTGAAGTAATGGCGTCAGAACGCTTTCAGAATGAATATTATGGGATGAATCTTTGATGCTCTGGAATCCTTTTTAAGCAATTTTGTTCATTAGGGTGCAAATCGTAGGAATTGTTGCTTGTGAGTCTTGCAAGAAATTGTTTACATGGATTCATCTTTTGCTTTTCCAAAATGGATAAGAATCTCTTGAATGTGAGATTTTGCCACAGTTGTTCATGCATTTCAGCCTGCTGTGCCACAGCCCCTTCTATTCTATGCTACCTCTAGGGATGGCAACGGGGCGGGGGACCCCTCCCCCGTCCCCCGCCCCGTTGCCTATTAGTTCCCCCCGTCCCCCGCCTCGTCCCCCGTCTCCCGCTCCCCCAGCCCCGCCCCCGCCCCGCCTTGCCCCGCTTCCCCCGCGGGGTTAATAAAATTTTATTATATAATTTTATTATAATTAAATTTTAATAAATAATCAAGTACTAAAATATCAACACATCACCAAATTATTATTCATTGTAATTTTACAATTGAAACTCATAAAAACAATCAAACAGAAGTTATTTGAATACAATCCAATATGATGAAATAAATATAACTAAAATAGTCAAATTTTCACTTTTAGTACAAATACAATCACTAATTCATCATTGTGTTTGTGCTTTTTTTTTTGAGAAAAAAATGTTATTCTATTAAGTGTAATTAGAAATTTAGTATAAATGTATTAGTAAATTTAGTATAACTAATTAATAAATTCTATTAGTAGACATGTATAATTATTCATATAATTGATAATATCAATTATATTATATAAACTAATATACGTTATATAATACATCTAACTAATAATATCATTATCATAAGTTTATAACTAATTAACTTACATATAATATATAGTCATTTATATATATATATATATATATATATTTTGCGAGTGGCGGGGCGGGGGAGTATACCCCCGCCCCCCGCCCCGTTTCTAAGCGGGGGGAAAAAATTGCCCCCCCCCCGCCCCAACCCGCGCCCCGTGAGCCCTCCGCGGGCACCTGCGCCCATTGCCATCCCTAGTTACCTCAGTAGTTTTTCATCAATTGGCATCGACTTTTCACCTGCTTTGGGCTGATAACAGGGTTCACTTCTAGTTTGGTGGCCAAATGGATTACCTTTGAACCTGTAATATACACGTACAATAATGTATTTGAGTCAGGAATAGGTCGAAGTTAAACTTGATTGTGGCCTGATGAGCGAACTGCCTCAATCACAAATAGCTTCATTGATAGAAGTTGGGTTCGATGATTTTATTGGCATGCAATCAATACAAGTTACTCAAAAGTACTTATTCACATGTTTTTATGGAAAAAGCCATTCATGATTGGGCTCCTCATTGACAATGCTCATAGTGCATCAGGGCATTACTGTGTCCAGGATATATTTGTCACTTGAAGCAGCGATTACTTTGTGCTGCTTTTCACTAGCAAGTCTGCTTTTGCCTTTTCCTGAGTTTTCATTTTTTAACTCTCATTTGAAAGGATGACAACTGTGAAATTTTATTACTGAGATAATATTTCAATCCCCATTGACAATGCTCAACAGAAGTTGGTGATGCCCTGTTTTGAAGGTTTTTTTGTTGTTGTTGAGACAGGGTATCTTGACTTACACCAGACTAATCCCCTGCGATGGTGCAAAGTTCGCCCCAAAGATGCACCACACGATGGACAAGCAGGAATCGAATCCGTGACCTCTAGGTAAGAATCTAGAGAGCCAACCACTGCCATGTTTTGAAGTTGATAAGTGGATTTTATGTGATGGGATTTGATGTGTCTCTTGAATTACCCATATGTCTTGTGGAAGCTGCAGCTCCAGAAGCAGAGTAGTCCAAAATTCTGATTTCCTAAAGCCTAAAACATCATCAACAGAATAGATTACATGAACTGTGTTTCCTGTTAACACCATAACCTTCTCTGAATAGTTAATGGCATTACTAAAATATAGCATCTTAGCTACAAGACTCAATGGATGCATAGTTTTATAAGCACTACAAAATATTCAAAACAGTTTTTTTTTTTTTTTTTGGCTTAGAGACGGGACATTAAATGAACTCTCTTCAAACCAAAAGTTAGACAAACCAACATTATGTAAATGTAGGGAAATTCTTTAATTGTCTTATATAACACCAAATACTCTTTACCAAAATGTAAAATCTACCCATTATTATAGATAATAGGTCTCTTAAACCCAATTAGTCTGTATGCTTAAGTATCTAATGAAATTAAACTAGAATACCTTTCTAATTTGAACAACACTATCGACTTCATTAATTATTTTGGATAGAAATCATCATTTTATACGTGAAAAAAATTATATATATCATCACACATCATTAGAAACAACAAATCTTAACATGAATTTTCTCCAAAAATTATTTTGAAAATGCAAAAAATATCATCAAACATGTCACAGAAATAACAATCCAAATGGGCTCTTAAGTTTTCTTCAAAAATCATCAAACATTTTTTTAAAAAATGGGCTCTTAAGTTTTCTTCAAAAACTATTCAAAAACTGCAATCCGAACGGGCTCTCCCATGTGGATTGCTATTTTCAAAAGTCTTTGTAAAGTAATATATGGCAGAGATTTGATATACGTAAATTAAAAAAAAAAGATAATTAAAAAAAATGTTAACAAAAATCTAAAAAATTTTTCATGGAAAATCAGGGTCCAAACAAGGTACGGTACTTGCCGCCATTAACGTGGAGTCTAGTGTACACTCCACACTTGAGTGGAGTACTTCTTGTCTGTGTAATTGCATCAGCCCTTTACCTGTTCTCTGCTGGTTTCAGGTAAGAAGTACCATATTCTCGTCACATTTGTATCTTCAGAAACCAAATAAGCACAGGAGGTAAGCCACCGATTCTTCACCTTCTGACAACCCTTTTGTTTCCCAATTTCTGTTTTTCAATTTTTTCCCCTGTTCTTTAGGTTTTGGATGGGTTCTTGAGACCAAAAAGAGCCAAAAGCAGCAGCCGGAAACCCAACATCTTTGCTGCTGCAGCAGCCCAGTCAATTGCCGGAAAATCAAAACTCATCCTCGGAGCTCCAGGTCATGGACCCTTCTCCTTCTCCTCCTGTTCATCATTTTGCAGCGGCGAGTGTTATAGGCAACAATGAAGAAATCTTAACATGTCTTTTACTTATTTAACCCCGAAATCCCTGGGAAGGATTTGATGGATATTTATTTTGTGAATGGAGTGTTGTGTGATGGTGATCTTCAATGGCTAAGTGGATGGAGGGACCCTCTGTGTTGATCCAGACAAAGAATGCCTTGACAATTTATTTTCTTCATATACATTACAGTAAGTGGGATATTTGGTACTTTGGAGTGTCTTGAGGCTGTTTGTATCTTATTGAGGTTAATGAGCCACAACGGCTATTCTTTGACATTTTTGAGATGAAAAGGGACCATTCTGAATGGGTTTTGAAGTATCATATAGACTTCAATCCACTTTCAATTTTATATCCTTCAATGGTGGACGAAGGCCTTATTTCATTTGATGAAGATCAATGTAGATTTTGTATACCTTGCTTGGTTGAGGATGAGAAAGAAAGGAAACCGAGACTTGTGATTGCTCTGCTGGGTAAGGTAATTTTATATGAGATCAAGGATATGGTTTTTAAGGAGCTCGTTGAAGTAGGGCCTGTGGATGTTGATCATGAGTGGAAATGTAACTCTTATTACTGGACAGATGCTTGCCGGTTTGTGGAGACTCTTGCTAGTGTTTGATTGTTATCCATAACATGCTACTATATGTATCAAGAGGCTGCCTTGATGTACTAAATAATATCCTCCTGGTTGAATATTCAACGGTATCATTACATTGTAAGTTCGGAATTTTTTATGATATTGTTTAAGACAGTAAATGTATTATTTAAGTTATGGTTGCAAAATGCTTGGATATATGAATATTTTCAATTACGTGAGTCTTGTAGCTTGCTGAAATTTTGCTTTGTGATTTCATTTCTTGACTGTGGAAATTATTGTTTACATGCCTCAAGTCATATTTTAATGCGCAATAAAGGATTGTTCTTTCCTTCTATATAATTGAGAAGACTACTTTGGAAACATGTTTCAGCTATAGACAACTGGGAAAATAGGCTAGTTAAAGATTTGCTACTATGCATTACCAAGAGTTCAAAGGTTTCCCCTAGTGATTTGGGCAACAATTATGGCACCTACATAGATTATAATCAATTCCTAATTATGATTTCACATGATTGTTTGCCTGTTGTGAACTAGTGAGATGAGAGATTTTTAGTTTACTGCTAAAATATTGAATGCTAAACAGTTCTAGCACAACTGTGGCATCTTCAAGTTTGGAATCTGCTTGAACTATTCTGGACCATAGGTTTGAAAGCAAACTGATTTTGTCATTGGTATTTATTCATTGAAGTTTGTTTAACTGATCATGTTCACCTGTAATATGTACTACACACTAATAATTTGCCTCAAGAAATGTATAAGATACGAAAGTTACGTGTCCAGATGTTAAGCAAAACGCATCCGTGATTAGTGTCCTTGTGAGATCATCTACACATTTCAACAGAATACTTTTAACAACCGCAAAAACCATATCTAAAGTCGCTCTGTTAAGCACGTTCAGATTCCTTCTCCATCTAAATTTTATCTATTTAACGCCTCTCCTATTCCTTTTCATCATTGCCTCTTTCTTCTTCTGCCTAATGTCTCTTTCCTCTCTACTTGTCATCATCACTGATCTTCTTGCTTCTTTTCTCCCTCTGACTTTTCTTTATCTCCAACAACTCATATATTGAGTCTCACAAATTCATGGTCCTTTTTTGCTCAAAGTAAGTACTTTGTTTAATTGATGCCTTCTTTTTGTAATGTATTCGCACTGAATCATTTGATTTATATTATAGTTTTGTGAAAATTGCATCAGGGGTTGTTTTCACTCTAATAAAAAATTAATTTAATTATTTCCTATCAAGCAATCCCCCTTAGCAAATGATGCAGAGTTGGTCAAAAAGCTTCGAATATCAGCTTGAACTTGATAGCCACAAGTACCGTATTTTGTATGACTTCTCAAGCTGTCTTTAGCCAACAAGATTTTGTGGCATAAATTTCTAAATCCAAAAATTCAGCGCATTAATTGTCTGAGTATTCAGATTTCAGAATTAAGATTCAGTTTTATCAAGCGGACCCTTAATATCAACATAGTTTTTTGAAATTTTTTGTTGATGTACCTTTGCATTTGTAAGTTGCATATTCCTTACTGATGTTTTTGACTTGTCTTTTTGAAAATCTTTTCCCCTGGATCATTTTGCAGAAATGCAGTGGATTAGTACTCTTTATTTTTCTGGTTGAGAACTAGGTTGGCAAGGCAGTTGAATAAGTCTGTTGTTCACGCTTGGTTTGATTTCCTAAAGTCCTTACATCTTGATCTTCAAGTTTGGCTTCATGATTCGAGCCAAACTCAAACAAGACTTAATCTAGCCCAGTCAAGATCTGGTTGTTTAATAAGGAGCATATTTTAAGGTTTGTGATGCTTCATGATTTAAGCTGGTGTGATTGAAATGTCTCTTGTGTAGTTATTCAAATTTTGTGTTTGTCAGAATGTAGGGAACATTAAATCCTAGGAAGACTCAGAACTATATAATGCAATTGAGTTTTGCATACATTCTCCAATTTTTACAGTGCTTGCGCTGTATTAACAGCTTGGGGTTGTCTAAGGCTTGGTAATACAAACATATTCAAGTATCACAGCACTTTTTCTGTTAAGTTGTATGTTATTTGTAGCATTTTTGGTTAATCTAAATATCATCAATTCGGCATGTTTATTCATTGTGCACCAGACAGCTTTCAATGGCTTTCCAAAGAAACCATGGAAATGTATTGTTGGTTAAATGCATTTTTGCTCGCTCAACTTCCTCGAACTTCTGAGGTAGACACTGTATTTTTGTTTTTCCTTTTTCTGAAATTCATTACACATAGATCCTGATTAGCTCTTAAAGTACATTATGGTTGATCAAATAAGGTAAGCAATATATTTTTCTCCCCATATAGAGAGACAGCAAATGATGGTAAAATCAAGGTTGCAGAAATAAGACTTGTAATACAGGGCACCCTTTTGGGGGTACTTTTGCCTCCATCAGGGTTGGACTAACATTTCTATCTTAATGTCAATTGAACTTTTTGCCCATTTGCTTCTTGGATTTACATTGTACAACCTGTCGGTGGAAAATGTGGTAGGGAGTTCACATAGTGAAAACTATTAGATACACCATGCATGTTGCATGACAATGCCGTGCCACGTACTAACATTAATCATGGATCACAAGTAATAGTGGTGGGCTATTCCTTATTTAAACCCACCACCATTCTTGTTAATATTCGTGGATGATCATGGACCATCCACTTGCAGTGTCACATGGACCATCCGCATGGCAATGTTCGTCAAAGGGACCATCTACTTTTTCTTGTATTCATTACTTTACTATGCTTGCACTTCTTCCTTTGACTCCATCACTGTTGTGGAAATAGTAGTCACCTCTCTTCTTTTAATTCTCTGGATTTAGGTATGAAGTTCCATATTTTCTTAATCTGTGTGGCCTCACATGTCAAATGATCAGAGGAGGTATGCCCACTAAATCTTCAATTTTTTTAACTCTTTATTGCTTAATTTCTCTTTTGTGGTTTACTTTTTTTTTTTTCATTTTTTAAGGTTTTGATGAATTTTTCAGCTCCAAAACCAATAAGCAAAAGCCAGAACCCCAGCTACTCTGCTGCAGCAACAAACTAGCCAATTGCCCAAAATAAATAACTCAGCCTTGAAACCCCAAGCCATGGAACCTTCTGATTCTCCATCTCCTCCTCTTAATCATTTTGCAGAGCCAGAACCCCAGCTACTCTGCTGCTTCAACAAACTAGCCAATTGCCCAAAATAAATAACTCAGCCTTGAAACCCCAAGTCATGGAACCTTCTGATTCTCCTTCTCCTCCTCTTTATCATTTTGCAGCAATTATTATAGGCAACAACAAGGAAATCTTAAAGTACCTTTTACTTCACTTACCCCCAAAATCCCTCATTCGATTTCAATCCGTCTCCAAGCAATGGCTCTCAATCATTTCCAGCGCCACTTTCAGGCATCTGCATTCTCAATTTTATCCCACCACCACAATGACGACTTCCTCCTCTGGCACTGCTGCAGACTCTGGAGCCTTTGTTTTCATCCACCAGAACTGGGACAAGCTTAATTTTATTTCCTTCCACCAAGAAAATGCAAGTTCAGTGGGCACCACATTTTCCAACTTGAGCAATTTCATTTCCTTTCAAGATGGGCAGTTTCAGGGTTTTCATTATTGCAATGGGTTATTAGCTCTTGTGTTTCAATCAAAAGATGATGGTCACAAAGACTTTCTTGTGTGTAACCCTACTAGCAGTCAGCAGAGGCATATTCCAAGGATCAATCTATTGGAAAGGGAACGTCGCTTTGCGGCTCTGAACATTGTGTTTCATCCTGTAGAATCTGATGACTACAAACTTGTCTGTGTATGGTCAGAACGTTACATGCCAAGGAATGATGCGAGTCAAACCCCTCTAAGGAGATATGAATTCTCTATATATTCATCTGAAACTGGGACTTGGAGGGACGCTAAGGCCATAAATGGGAGGGACTTTGTGTATATTTATTTCATGAATGGAATGTTGTGTAATGGTGATCTTCATTGGGTAAGTGGTAGGAGGGAGACTTTATGCTTTGATTTAGATAAAGAATGCCTTAACTTAACAGTGCCTTCTCCTCGTATGCATCATAGTGAGTCGGATATTTGGGACTTTGGAGTGTCTTGAAGCTGTTTGTATCTTATTGAGGTCAATTGCCCACAAGCGCTGTTATTCGACATTTTTGAGTTGAAAAGGGACTATTCTGAATGGGTTTTGAAGTGTCAACCAGACCTCTCTCCTGTTACAACTTTGTATCCTTCAGTGGTGGATGAAGTTTCTGGTCCGTTTGGTGATGGTCGATGCAGATTTTGTATAACTTGTTTTCGTGAGAATGATGAGAAAAAGCCGAGGCTTCTGATTTCTCTGTTGGGGAAGGTAATTTTATATGACGTTGAGGATCTGACTGTTAAGGAGCTTGTTGAAGTGGGGCCAACGGATACTGATCATGGCTGGAAGAGTAACTAAAGGGTGTGGAGTTACGTGTTAAGATAATTTCAAATGCTAATTTCTTTAGTAAGAATAAAATTAATTTGGAAAAGTATCTAAATTGAAGAGATAATTAATATAATTGTGTATATCCACATTGTAATTATGTTTGGCGTATAGTAAATTAAGTGTAATTAAAGTGTTGGGAGCACTTGTTAGAAAAACCTTTGGTAAATTGGAATTAAGAATGGCATGAATCATAACATGAAGTCGCAGTGGAGGTTAGTATGATGTGCATTTGATCTTACCAACAAATCTCATAAAAAAAGGCTGTATTTGTTTGCATATTGAATTTAAGTAAGTTAGAGAAGCAGAGTTATCAAAATATGAACATCTTTGAGCTTAAAGTTTTTTAGTATAGAATTTGAATATATGGTTATCTCCATGGACTCTGGTTAAAAACTTAAAATCCTCACAAGCTTTTTGATGAAAAGTCAACCCATAATCTCAACTCAATATATATCCAAATTCTTTGGTGATGTGCCTTTGCATTGCAATTTGCCTATCCCCATCCCTAATTGATGTTCTGATTTTAGTTTTTGCAAATTTTCAATTTCTGATCTGGAAATCTTTATCAGTTGTTAATTTCTTTTACACGAATCTAGTGGCTAGTTGGGGTTGGTGCTTGGTACTTTTTTGGGATAATTTCAGAAACCTCATGTTTTCGAGGTTTCTGACTATTTCACTAGCCTCCCTTCAAAATTTGAAAATTATACCAAAAATTTGAAAATTATACCAATCTCTCTTGAGATTTATTATATTATAACATCTAGGTTTAACCAATAATTAAAAAAGTAATAGTATGAAAGAGAAGATAATATGATTCCATCATTGTCTCGCATCTACTAAATTGTTTAATATATCTAATAGGGAAAATCGTTCAAAATGTCCTTCACATTTTGTAAAATAACTTTTTTCATCCCTCACTTTTAAAAATGTAATTTTACGTCCCTTACAAATTCACATTGGTCAAATTTGGTCCCTACTTAGGTTTCCGACTAATTTTTTGTCGGAATTCACCACGTGCCTTGCACGTGATCATATTTTAAGGGTAAATTTGTCAAATCAAATTTTATATAATTCAATTCATAATCTCTCACATTTCATAAAATAAATTTTTTCGTCCCTTACATTTCACATAATGAATTTTTTCATCCTTCACATTTTTCAAAATGAATTTTTTCATCTTTTATTGATCATGTGTGTGAATAATTTTTTTTAAATTCATGTACATATATATATATATATATCTATTTGATTTCACTTGAACAGTACGAATAGCATGTGAAATCAAATAGAGATATATTACATAGTATTCATACTGTTCAAGTGAAATCAAATAGATATACACATGAGTTTAAAAAATTGTTAGTTTTTCACTTATATTCATTTTTTTTACTCGAAATTTGAAAATAAAGAAGACAGTTAATCCTAAATATTATCGAGTGTTTATATTGAATTAAATTTGGACAGAAAAAATAAACAAAAGAAAAGTATGACAAAAGAAATAAAGGATTTGCACTTTCAAAATTTAAGACAATTAAAAGGCAAGTAATTCAACTATTGGTCTTAAAAGTAACGAGTAGAATTCGAGTTAGGACCCATTAATTAGATGACCTTATTATACAACTCAGTAAATAAATTATTACCAAAAGAGAAAGGTCACAAATATACGTGGATTTATAGAAAAAAAAAACTATTCATACACATGATCAATGAGGGATGAAAATATTCATTTTGAAAAATGTGAGGGATGGAAAAATTCATTTTTCGAAATGTGAGGAACGAAACAATTCATTTTGTAAAATGTTTGGGACTAAAAAATTCATTTTGTGAAATGTGAGGGGCTATAAATCAGATTATGTAAAAATTTGATTTGAAAATTTTGTCTTTAAAAAATAATCATATGCAAGTCACGTGATGGATTCCGGCAAAAAATTAGTCGGAAACCTAGGTAAGGACCAAATTTGGTCAATGTGAATTTGTAAGGGACGTAAAATTACACTTTTAAAAGTGAGGGACGAAAAAAGTCATCTTGTAAAATGTGAGGGACGTTTTGAACGATTTTCCCTATCTAATATCTAAACATTAAAAGAAAACTCTAGAATTTGTTGTTTATCATCGAGAATTAATTCACATAAAGCATCAAAAATAGTATATCATTTTATATATTTCACTTAATGTAAGATTCAAATTGCTCTTTTTAGTTATAAACTCATTATCAAACATGATCAGCTACAAATAATCAAAAAAATTTGTAACCAAAATATTACAAAAAGTGAACTTTAACCAAAAAAATCTCAGCAACTAAGCTTAATATGTTGACAAGAATATTTAAGATGTTAAAGTTTGTTTTCTATAATATGCTGGTTGCTAATTTTTTGATTATTTATTGTTCACCATGTTTGACAATGGGTGTGTAACTTAAAAGAGTTATTTGGATCTTCTATTAAGTGAAAAATATAGAATGATACACTATTTTTTTGATATTATATGTGATCTGATCCCTAACGATAAATGACAAATTTTAATGTTTTTCTTTAATGTGTGAGTTGATATTAAATTAATTAAATAATGTAATAAATGGGGACATTAATGGAATCATATTATCTTCTCTCCCCTAATATCACTTTTAATTATTGATTGAGTTTAAATGTTACAAGATAATTAATCTTAAGGGAGGTTAGTATAATTTTGAAAACCTGGAGAGAGGCCAGTGAAATAGTTAAAAACCTCATGGGAGATTTCTAAAATTATCCCTTTTTTTTTGGGTTTAATAGGTAGGGCCTAGACGGACAAAGGAAGTTGAATACAGTTTTGGTATACCTAAATAGCTTAAGACTTGATCTTTAAGTTTGGCTTGATAATTACAACCAAACCTAAACAGGATTCAAGCTAAGTCAAACTCATGAAATTTGGTTGTTTAGTATGTAATAATTTTGTTTGATATCAATGATATGGTTGAAAAGGAGCTTGCTAAAGTAGCACCAGTGGGTACTGGTGATGGCTAGAGGGATAACTTTGGTTAGTGGATCCATGCCTACCAACAGAGAACGATGCTGGCTTATGGTTGGATAGTTAAGTCGCTTGATTGGAGAGGCTTGATTGGAGAGGGTTGAGTTGGATGATATGATGAAAAAAAGTATAAATGGGAGAAATTATAATTCAAAGGTTCTGCATTCAAAATCTTTCACTCATCAGAAAAAAAAAATGGCTTGGTTTACTTCTATTTAGCTACACTGGATTTTTTTTGGGGTGTGGAAGTATCACTTAGTTTGGCTAGGATAAATGTAATTCTCTTTCTTTCGAAGCCCAAAGAGCTTACGTCAATTTCTACAAATCTAAACCCCGAGAGAACCCCAAAAGCCGGTATCTTTGAGGTCTCACAGGAAACTTATAACTACCAACCCAAACCCTCCCAAGGATAAATGTATTTCTCAATTGCAGTTAAAGTTGTAGGTTGGTTTGATTGAGAATGAAATGAAGCTTGCAATTTATATGCCAGACACTATGGCTCTAAATTCATGGTTATGGTTTAGATGATTGTTCTGATTGTGAAAGTTACAGTGAGGGGTGCCATCAAGCTTTGGAATTGGGGAAGATTTAATCCCTGGCCATGTTCCTTACTTAAAATCTATAAGCCTTAGATGAACTTTCGTCTTCTTTCAATTATTGTTATTCCTTAAATGCGATAGCTAGATGTATTAATTTACAGTACAGTGTTTCTGGACTGTTTTCTCTAATTGGATGCCTCTGAAGCTGAGTCCTATCCAATTTGACTTGATTGATATGATTTATAGACATTTGAGGCAACAGTGTACAACTTTGGTGTAATCATAAATTTCACGTCGAAGTTGGTGAATTCACTTTTGCACCAAAATTGTATAAATTTATATTAAAAATTATAAGAATGATATGACCAGTAGAATTAGGCAAAAATTTAACTTGAGAGGCTCCAGATCTCTCAATAGAGCCCGTCCTAGTTTAGTGCTCTTCCCTATAGTTTCAAGACAATAATTTTTAATAGACGTTCAAATCATTTATTTTGGGGATCAAATGTTAGATGGTACATGAGAGTTGAATGGTGTGGCTAATGGATAATGTTTTATTATTATTTTTTGAAGGCCTAATTCATATCAATGCACTTTCAGCCCAATGAAATTCTATACTGCTTTTTACTATTTTTCGAAGGAATATTAGAAGGAAGAAAAAGAAGACTTGAGAGTATAAGACACGTCTAATTGGCTAATATTTTTAGATAAAAACTTTTTACTTCTTTACCACTGTTCTATGCTTAACTTATCAACTAATAATATCTGAAGGATTAATCTTAGATTAATTTTTACTATTCTGACAATGTATATACACTTTTATGCAATTATGCATATACTCATAGTGATAAATGATAATTATGTAAGATTTAAATTTGAAATTTAACTTTCGTACATTTGTCATGAATCCAATAGTTAATGTATAAACTGTTACTATGTATAAGATTTACTTATCTAAATTTTAATTTTGAGATAAACATATTGATCCCTAGAATTTAGCAACATCTTGATGCTAGAGCTATGTTTTCAGACTCGGACCGGGTATTGACTCGGCTGAGTTCAGGGGTCAATGGGTTCGACCGGGGGTTAAATTAAATGACATCATAAATATGTCATAAATATTTATTAATAATATTTAATCAAAATAAGATATAAAGTTTATCTTTAAATTGGTGGTTTACAACTTCATAAGTTTAGATTGACATATCGAGATCCTTCTCATAGATGTCATAACTTCAATGTGATGTTATTAATAAAAATTATTTAGAAATTAAAATATTATGTAATATATCTAAAAGCATGCTAATATCAATAAAGGTGTACACATATGTGTTTGATGTTTCAAAACTGTTTAACAAGAAAGTGCAAAGAAGTTAGAACAATCAAATAGCAATTTATATAATTCAATGCATATTACAAGTTTAAAGTTAAATTTGTGGAGAATATTTATAGACTATGAAACATTTCTAGGTATGTTAATAGTTTTTCAATATCCAAGGGGTTAGAATACAATATTGAAAAAGCTTTTTGAACCCTACATTAATATTCCCCCAATTCCTTCCTCCTTTACATTAATATCCAAGTCTTGTCCATTCCTTCCTTCCTCCTTTTCGTTTTTTTTTGAGTTTTTATTTCCATTCTTATTTCTTATTTCTTTTTAGGATTTCCATTCTTATA